TAAAAAAAATAATTGTTTTTAAGAAAAAGTATGTAATTATTTACAATGCGATTTAGCAATTATTTGTTTTTTTTTTCATTATTCTGTACATAAAAGTATTACGGTAAGATTAACGAAAAAATATATTTTACTTTTTTAACTATATATTTTATTTTTTATATCAAAATATGTCAGATTAAGATATAAAATAACTCAAAAAATACTTAATGAAAAAATACTTTATTATAGTGTTTTGAAAAGCTCTTGAGATAAGCTAAGCTACAAAAATATGCAATAAAAAATGGGGAGTTCCATTTAAGAAAACCGATTACATTGACTTCACCTTGAAAAGGTCACTCAAGGTCAAGTCCATATTTTCATCCTGTGACCCTCTTCAAACCATGCAACTTTTGTCTGTAACATTTTTTCGTATCTTCCATATTTTTCGAGATATTTGCCTGTGGCATTTAAAATGGGCACTGTATATATATATATATATATATGTATATTGTTTTTACAGTTCTAATGTAACAGTGGAGGGTAGTTCTTTTAAGATCACCACAGAAGCTGCTAAAGAGATTTTAGGAAAAGAATCTGAGCCAATAGAACCTCAATCTGTAGAACCGATAGGTAAGTTATGCGAATAGCGCGATAGAAATAAATAACAAATTTTATTTTATATAGATTAAAGTTATTTTTTATTTACTTATGTATTATATATATGTAATGATATATATTTATAATGCTATAATTTATTTATAGTTGACAAATGTTATTTTATACATCCCGAACTATAACAAGGATTATAATGCGCAGAAGGATTTAATTAAATATTCAACTCATAACATTGCTGATAATTGCATACATTATAATTAATAGTTTTATTTATTTCATTATTTTTATATTTTGGTTATATGAGATGTTATAATATATGATTTCAGTCGATAAATGGCATTACATACATCTTAAATGAAGATAAGATGGATATCTTTATTTACACACAATCAACTATATTGAAGTTGGCATCTATTTTGTTCACATTCAACGTGGAGTTTTTCCCTATTTCTCATTTTCATATTTTTCGACAGTATCTTCAAATATATTTAATCGATATTTTATATAACCATTCAAGTAGGTTTAAGACCCAAGGTTTGAGAAAATGTCAAGTTTAAAAGGTCGACGATGATAGCGTCTCATAATGGCAATGCATTTAATGCATCTTGGGAATTAGAGAAACGTTTTGTGAGGGATGCTTGTTTGCCTGTGATGTGAATACCAGAAACGTTCGAGAATTGCGGAAAGTATGTCGTGAGACGATGCGAAATGTACACGTTAGGGAAATTGAAGTTGCGATCCATTAGCAACTTTCTTTAAATTAAAGAAGCGAAAGTAAGGTAAAAGGTGCATAATTATAAAAATGAGGGACTGATAATGAAAACATATTTCTATATGTATATTCAATACTATAAAAAAGAATCACCTATATACATATATATATATATATATATGCGATACTATGTATGCGATACTATAACAAAGAGTCAATTTCTTATTTATTATTATTTTTTGTTATAATTTTTTACGCTAATGATGTATTAAATATGTAAGTAATGTATTTTTTGATAATTTGGTTACAAAAATATTGAACTGTAAGCTTTTTCACATATGTTTCGCATATATATTTCTTTATTATGATGCTGCATTTATAATATATTTAAAGTACAAAACAAATATAATCTCATTATGGGTTGTGATATAATCATTTTAAGCAAAACGGGAAAAAAATATGGATTGTTTCCTCTTCATAGTATTTGTTCAGTAATTTGTTAGAAATAACAATAAACAAAACTGGTTTTTGAATATAGATGTATACTATTCCTATAAGCTTCATTTTATATCATTCTGTTCAAATATATACAGGGTGGACCAGTAACTCTTGCCACTTCGAATATCTTCGAGTCTAGAATAGTTACGAAAAATTTTTTCCTACAAAAGTTTTATAGTTTCAAAGGGGCCATCGAGTGGTAGTAACACAGTTCGTCAGGGTGGCGGCGCTTCGGAGATCTCAAGGTCAACTCCACTTTTTCAAATGGACCGATTTTTTTTTTGCGTAATTCGATAGAGGAGCTCAAAAAACGTTAGGAAAGTAAATTACAAGACTCACAAATGTCAAGGTCAAGGTCATTGGGGCTGGGTCCCCTATTCGCTATATTTACCTTAATAAAATATTAATATTAATATTAATAAAAACTCACGCTTTTGAAATGTGCTCAAAGTGATTGCCGCCACTATCGATGCACGCTTGGAATCTATGTTCTAGACTCGAAGATATTCGAGGTGGCAAGAGTTACTGGTCCAACCTGTATAATCATCTTTTGTTAAAAAAAAAAAGTGGTATATATTAGATATATTTACATTTTTTACATTTTTCTTTCATATTTTAATTGATTGAAGATGAGTTAAAGAAATTTTTTGACTTTTTCAAAATATGAAAGTTATGCTTGAATGAAAATAAATGTTACGACTACAGATGATTTCATCGTATTGGTCTGCCACCACGGCGAGAAATGGTTTTTAAGGAGATATTTGTACTTGTTTCACGATGTATTTAACAACATAAACCGTTATCTACATATATTTCTTTACAATGTATGTAGTTTAAATCTGCGAAATGATGGGCAGCCCTTTGAGGTGATAAATACTACAAAATATTATAAGTCCCCATAATATGAAAAACAAATTACCTTTTTTTACTAAAATCAACTTTACAAAATTAGCCAATTTTTTAATACTTTTAGGATTAAAAGTGCAAAACGCGAAGAATAAAATATTATTTATGAATCTAAACTACATATTTTGATATGTATAAATTTTAAAATATGTACATAGTTCTATTATCCAATATGTTAATAATACTCTTTTTTTTAATAATATTAATACATTTTAGGTAGTACATTTTGTTTATTAACTATTAGACATTATTTTATTATATTTTACAATGTTTTATATATTTAAAGCTGTTATTACAACAGCTTTCAAGTTACCTTGATGGAAATATTCTATGAAAATCATAATAAAATCATATTGAAATAGTACTGACTCACATACTGAAATCTTAATCAATTGATCTTTTTTCTCTCTCTCTCTCTCTCTCTCTCATTGCAATATAATTAAAAATTTAGAAAAATTTATTAAAAATTTTATTCAGCAAATATCAATAAAAATGTATTTATTTATTAGTAAATTTCATGAAAATCCATATAGCACAAAAAAGCTGCAGACATATTGTAGAATAATTTTGTTGAAAGATTTTTCTTAGGATGCTCTGCTTGTCAACGAATATAGCTATTGACTATCCGGACTTTGTTGACAGTCAGCCTGAATAATTTCGATATCACTGCTGATGGACACCCGATTACATTTTTTGTAAATTTTCAATCAATTAAGTCATTGCTCTCTTTCGAAATATTTCGAATATTATTCGAAGTTAGACATCTCGATCTCTTATGTATCGATAGATTTCGATATTAATAGATGTGCGGCGTGCATAGTGCGGCGTTTTAAATTTACTTAAATATCAAAAAGACACGTCGCAAATAGAAATAAAAACATACTATAGATAAAATTCAAATATATTGTTAATGTAGAAGACAAGTCAGTTAGTTACTCGATCTCCTCAGCGGTAAGGAAAGCGTGTCTACATAAATATTAATAATAAAACGTTATATTTATTTGAAATTCGTTTCTCCTTTACAAAATCATCCGAATGATTCCGAAATGATCCTGGATATGGAATCATAATGAAACTGAAGATGGATTTGTTATTTGTATACATTGTATTAAGCGATTTAAGGCAAATAAATCAACAACAATTTTGATAAAACATTTGAATAAATCACAATATTTGTAACACGGAAGATAATACTTATGGTGAATTCGGTTGTATGCATTTATTACGTCCTGGCGACTCCACGATTCCTTTCTTCCGCGACGTTGCGGCAACGATCGTCAGTTGGTGATAAAAATGAATCATTCAATAAACAAAGCATCTTGCGCCATACATTTCCTTTAAACACAGTTATTTCTCGCTAACTATATCTACGAGTAACCGTGAAAAAGACGCAAGAAGATGAAACCATGCCGGTCTCCTCGAGATAAATAAAAAATAATAGGTACCCCTTACCACGGACTTATATTAGGTCTACCGGAAAGTTCTGTCCGTTTTTGGAATAAAACAAAATACAAATTTTTATTACCGTCAATAAACTTTATTAAATAATGTAATTGCCATTATTATTAATGATTTCTTGCCAGCGTGAGGGCAATTTGTATATCCCATTTTCGAAAAATGTTTTATCTTTTGATGCGAAAAATTGAACCAGTGCTTGTTTGATATCTTCTTCATTTTTGAATTTTTTGCCCCTCAAAAAATTTTGTAAGGACAAAAACAAGTGATAGTCGGAGGGTGCTAAGTCCGGGGAATATGGTGGATGCGACAGAATTTCCCAGCCTAGTTCTGCAATTTTTTAACGAGTCCCCGAAGCAGCATGTGGCCTGGCATTATCATGATGCAGTATGATGTTCTTCCTATTGAACATCGCCGACCTCTTTTCTTGGACTGCTGTATTTAAATTATCCAGTTGCTGACAATACTTCTCCGAATAATGGCAATTACATTATTTAATAAAGTTTATTGACGGTAATAAAAATTTGTATTTTGTTTTATTCCAAAAACGGACAGAACTTTCCGGTAGACCTGATATATAAGGACAGGGCACATGAAGCTTATAGCTGACTACGTAATGACGCCGCCCACTACGTGACGCTAGTAGGATACCTTGGCCGGCTTACTTCAACTTACCCTAATAAATATAATAAAGTATAATAAAATATTTCACTCTCAAATACAAATAATTGAAACGCGGATTCTGAATTCTGAAGTTGAAGCGGACAAGGTATCCTACTAGCGCCACGAGTAGCCGGCGACATTATTTTGCCACCGTTCAGTATAGGAGAGTGTCAGACCCGTGCTCCTTACAGTAGAATTTTTCGGCAGAAGAATAAGGAGATAATAAGAACTTTTTAACAAAATATTTAATAAATACAGCTGTATCAATAATGATAATAATTTTTCTAACGAACAAGTACAACTGGATCAATAATAATAAAATTTCCTTAACGAAATATTCAATAAATACAGCTGCATCAATGTCAACAAAAATAATTATAAAGAAGTAAGATCTTTGTAAACAGATCACGTGCGCGAGGGTCTGCCGGGAAAGCTAATGTTTAAGGGACTTTTGAACTGATATCACCAATCGACGATCACCACGGGTAAAAATATGAAAAGTAAAAAACATACCCTGCCGAATGAGGACACTGGCACGATTCTAATTCGTTAAAATTTTGGAAACCCCCTACTTCTAAAATTAGAAAATGCCCTCAAAAGGGAATTATAAAAGAAGGAACTCATAAAACTCGAGCACTTTTTATTCAATTACAATCAGTTTCGAGCAATCAGTCTTGTCCAATCGTGTCCAGACGTTTTTAGTTCGTAAATAATACAGAGAGTGAGAATACAGTTTAGCAAACCAGTGTCATCACTTGGCATCGTCTCCGAGGCAGTCCGCAGCCGCTCAACTATTACCACAACACACCATTCAACCGAGATAGAAACTGTCAATCTCTCACCAGCACACAATCTCAATTCACCAGTAAAAAAGTAAGTTACCAATCATTCAATTTTATTTATAGCCGTAACTTCCCGCAATAAGTAGCATTTTCCACTGGTTCCGTAGTGAAAACCACGTCGAGCAAAACATACAATTTACGACACATCGTTGTAGATCGAGTCCATTCCAGGAATCGGAAAACTTCTACGCATTTTAATTTGTCCATAACTAGTAGCAGTAGTCATTATTTATTAAGTACACGCACAGAAACAC